TCGTTCTCCACACGATCGGACGTAACTCCATGTTCACCCGTGATATGGGCACTCGTATGCGGAAACCAAGGTTCTTACATTATTAAGAAAAAGAAAAAAAAAAACCTTACAGTTCAAAAACTAGTGGTACATTGTCAAATCAATTCCAAATTCACGAGCAGAGATCACCACACGGATCAAATGCCCAGAATCGGCCCCACATTGTCCTGACTTATTTCTTCATGTGGAACACCTCCTTGACCTTGTCTCCGATCTTAGATGTGCTGGATTTTCGACCTTGAGGGTGCTTCTGATCGGCGGACGATGTTCCGAGACCAGCTGGTGCGTCTCCAGAGTCAGGTTGCGTCAGGTTGTGGCCAGGATGAGCCTATTCTTGCATGAGAACTGCCCAGAACTTGGAGCGGGTAATCAGCCACTTAAGTGAGGCCACCTACCTTCTGCTCCTCCTCCTCTGCCCCGTGGATGAGATCGTGTGTCTCTCGGGCAACTTCGTCTGTATATCCACTCATGGTGTTGATTGTTTTGATTGCAAATCTGTTGACTGATTGAATTTCTTTGTGTCAGGATATAGAGTTTAACAGGCACAGACAAGACCTGGCAGCTATATAGCTGAAGGGGAGCGTACGCTATTTCGTCATGTCATGTGCTTTCAACGTCATGAGATTCCCTCAACATTCATCATGGTGAGGGGGAATATTAGGTTTGTATGACCCCGCTGCTTGGATCGGCAGATGATGAAACTTTGCGCCATCATATTGGGCCATCTTCTCCAAATACAACGCCATGCTCCCTGGAGAAGGGTGCATTGATGTCGCGAGACCAATTGATTTCAATCAGGACTACATCATCGTGCCTACTTGCGGTATAGCCAAACCCTGATGAGCATTCGAGACCACCATGGGTGAAGCCATTTTCCTCCCAACCTAGATGATATCATCCATAGTCCGACTGCGTGATTGGCTTCAGAGATATCATTCTAAGCCTATCTGCGTCATCTTGTGCATCGTACCAATCATGAAGCTGTCTGAGGTGCGGCAGCAACGGTCTGGATTCTCCGGAGGAGCTCGTCATTCATCAACTCATTGAGTTCAAGTAAAGAATGAGATTCCGCGACTTATCTAGAACGAAATATGGAATGTTTCACTGTAGATTTCAGCCTCTCCACGGCGTATTTCTCTGGAAGATGGATGCAACATCTAGGTCGAAGAGTGCATCTATCTCACACTTATTAGATCACTTTATCATTTACTGCTCTCAGCACCCCGTAAATTCCAACCTGGGTCCGCGCCGGCGTTAGTACATGTAAGTACTAATTATAGAAAAAGGTATGGGAAGACGGTATCCTCAGCCATATCCCCCGGTATCAAAGCTCAGCCATATAATAGATTCTTTCGATGTCACCCAATCAAGCCTGCGGAATCATATCAGAGGAGGCGGGGACGAACTAACTAGGCCTCCAGATGATCTTCATGTACGTATCACCATTCATTCCCCTCCTACCCTCCCTCGCACTATTTTCAAAACTAGCTTAGATCAAAATTTAGCACCCGGGCTCTCACGTGGACGGGAGCGGGGGCTTAAGGGACTCCGAAAGACCCGGCACAGTTTTCTAGCAGCCTTCCCTACAAAGCAAAGAATACGTACGTAGTTAAGGCTGATCAAGTTTTAGAAGCGAATCCCAGTTCGAGATTGACGGCGTCGATACAATACTTTCGTAAGCACCGTCACTTAGAACTTCACCGTATGTTTGCCAAGCAAACACTTGGGATGACTGGATGGAAAGTTTGAACCGAAAAGTCGGACCTGCAAGCAGATGGATCAACCAGTAGGCTGATAACGGTGGGGCAATCTTGCATGCCTAGATGGATGACAAGAACGCCTTATCTGATGCTTAAATCGAAAACTCGGTCTGAGGAGCAAGGAGATCCAGGCAGAAGACAAGTTAATGGAAATTTCCCGCGTGATCATTGGTTGAGAACTTCCGAGGCGGAGTTGCTTCTCACGGAAACCCCACGGCCGCGCCGTGATTCGCCATCAACTCCCGCTTCCACCTGCTTTCGGAGGTTAGACTTTCCAACTTTACTCACTGGCTCCGATAGTTGGCCCTCCTTAAAGTTCTTTGCTGGACTATTTGAGCCCAGCTGACCAATGACCACTCTCCCCCCACGCATTGCGAATTCCTCGTATGCGAGTTTCGCTTTCCTGTTTCTTAATGGGGATAAGCAACCCGCCGAGGGCTAGTTGTCATCCCCGGCTCATCACTCCTAGATGGCCGGCTCCAGTCCCGGCTCCACCGGTATCGGTCCAAGAGCTTGTCGGAAATGGAGCCGTTAGGGCGCCAGTCACACCGTGAAAATATATATCAGTTGGACTTCAACTTGATTGAGACTTCAGGCCCTTCAGCAAGATACTACTAGCTCTTTAATCTATCTAAATTTCAACACGTGTGGTTCTTTGTCCCGTCTTTGCCCAGCCTTCATCCAATCTCTTCATCACAATAGAAACCGTTTGCCATGTCCATCGTAGAAGAAAATGCCGGAGCCACCAATCCTGGCGAAAAAAATGTTGTGCGGGAGGTGACGGTGGAGGTCGAAGCCCAGAACGAGCGGCCCATGACAAAGGCCGCTGAGAAGACAGTGAGAGGGTGGATTATCGCTTTTGGCTCATTTCTAATCCTGATCCCATCATATGGTACGCTCTTTGACTCTATCACCTCCAGGATCACCGGACCATCATGAGAGACAGAGATTGACCAGATCCTAGGTTTCATGCTGGCGATCGGTGTTGTCCAAGCCTACCTACACGCCAACCAACTATCAGATTACACAACCCGAGACATAGGATGGATTGCGGGAATGTTCACATTTCTCGCTCTCTTCCTCGGTATTCAGGCTGGTCCTATTATCGACTCCTTTAGTGTACGCCTTCTCGCACCCATCTCCGTGGCTATAAGCCTTCCTCTGTTCTTCCTCCTAGCCGAATGCACACTATACTGGCATTTCATGCTCTGCATCGGAGTACTCGGCGGTATCAGCTCAGCCATCACCGCGACCCTGGGTGTTGCTGTGATAGGAAAGGTCTTCCTTGAATACCGTGGATTGGCAATGGGTGTAGCGTTCTCTGGCTCTAGTCTGGGTGGTGTCATCTTCCCCTTGATGCTCCGAGCCACCCTCCCGCGCTGGGGTTTTGCGTGGTCGATGAGGGCCGTGGGGTTTGTGAGCACTGCGCTGCTGGTCCTAGCAACCGCTTGTCTGTGGCACTGTGACAAGTTAACTCTCATGGACAGCAACGAGCCGCTAGTCAACGGCGACATTCCCGACACCATCGTCGGCGATCTCACACAGGTCACCTCCCGCAGATCGCGAGCCGATGCCCCTAAACCCAAGAAGATGGCCATGATCAACTTCTCTGCCTTCAAATCTCCCCCGTTTTGTCTTTTGACGGCAGCCATGCTGCTTCTGGACTTTGTCATTTTCGGAGTAGCTGGTCTTCTTCCTACAATGGTATCCTTGAGTGGATTTGGTGACGACACGGGATACTACCTAGTTGCCATCTTGAACACGTGTTCTATCGTTGGCCGCCTCCTGACTGGAATAATCGGCGACCGCTTCGGCCACTTCAACGTTATTGTTTTGACAGTCGCCTTAACTCTCATCTGTACGGCCGTCACACTTCTCCCCTTTGGATCGACACATGTTCAAGCTCTCTACGCCTTCTCCGCTCTCTGGGGTTTCGGATCCGGATCATTCCTCCCTTTGCTTCCAGGTACGTATATTTTCCTTCATGGACCATGTATAGAAAACACCCAGTGCTAACGTCTATCTCTATAGTGTGCATGGGGAAGATCTGTGATCCTAAAGAGTACGGACGTTACTTTGGCACCATGACTTTTGTCAACAGCTTCGGTCTGCTCATTAGCGTACCCATCGGCGGCCAGATGCTCGACACCATGGGCCCCATGGCCCTTTCAGGGTTCTACGTTGCCGTCATATTCCTTGGTGGTGTTGCCATTGTTGCGTCGAGAGCTCTGCTGATCGGAACCTGGTTCGGGTTCAAAGAGAAAATCTAAGCCGGCATATCCATAAGAGGGTATCTTCCAGGCAGCAAACCCAGAGAAAAAATCACGGGGAGAGGAGAAATAAGTTGTTCATTTTGAAATCATGAGAGAAGTTGAAAAATTACTAATTACTAAGTACAAACATTTAATAAGACATAAGAGCAAGCTAAGAGCAAGCGTTTGGAATAAACAGAAGATTTTCTTCTTGGCGAGACTTGACATACATATGATGGTCAATCTACATAGTTATATGACATAATAACACTAAGTAAATTCAGAAAGCAGTAATATGTGATGATCGAAGCCAGTCAGAAGTGCGAGATGATTTATTAGAGGGGAGTAAGACTTGCAACATCGCAGTCGGGGCACTTATAGTAGAAAGTTATTTTTAACTACCTATAATCATAAAAGCAGCGATTTACGAAGTTAATAAGGACTCAAGTAACTCGACCGAGTAGCGATATATAATACTTGACTTGTATATAATGATAAAGGCAGCGATTTATAGAATAGAAGATTGTTAATATAGACTTGAGTTGTGCGGTTCAGTCAGAGTCACTATGCCGGGCACAAGCTATTGTTGGTATTGAACCTTATTTAGGGCCGGGCGTAAGCCTTGCAGCCGGGCAAAAAGGCTGAAGTTTAATGTGTTGTAATGCTAGGTATAGTATTAAGTTGTTGAATTCTTACTGTTCTGCATAGCTCTCTCACTTACTACTAGAATATATACTAAAAATATAGTTTACCAACTAGATATACTCCAGTTAATAAGAGCTATGCTTTAACTTTCGTATGTAACGAGCAAAGTTTTCTTATGCCTGTCCTCAAGCTAGGTAGCTTTTGCTCGTGGTATAAAAACAATCAAAGGACGATTTCCATGACCAACATAAACCAGAAGAGTCACCTCTTTCCACCTCACCTCTTTCCACCAAAGCTCGAAGTCATGGGCCAAAAACACAGCAAACCGTACCGCAACCTGGGCAATACTGGCAGCACTCAAGGTAAGAAAGCCAAGTAACAAACTTCTGGCTCACACTGACCTTTAGTTCCGTCTGCAGTTAAGCCAAATTCCCAGCCACCAGATCAGCCGCCTCCAGTATATGATGATTGCGCGAAGGCGACAGGGTTGCCCCAAGATCATGTTCTGATCATCATCGAGAGCGTAAATCTAATCATGAAAGAGGTGATGGTAGAGCTTGATGGCGAGCTCAATGGCTCTCCTGATGTACTCGCGGCTGCGGGACATATTCGCGAGAGTTGTACAGTGGCTGCCAGAACGGTTACCAGAACCAAGCTACCAAACACGGCCTCCGAATTTTTGTTCGATGATATCGAGAAGTGCCGTGCGAGACTTGTGGAACTGGGTAGCGCCCTTGTTACGGGTGTAGCAGCGGACAAAGGAGTGGCAGTTAGTCTGATCTTTGCTAATGCTGTGACGAAGGCTGCATACGGAGCCAAGTCAGATAGTCAGGACTACCGAACAGCGGCATGGGCTGCTCTGGTAGGTAGATTTACGCACGAGCTTGCGGCGGGATTTGCAGTTAATGAGTGGAAGGAACTACATGGAGCTTGGCCATCTAAAATTGGTGTCTTGTTCCGGGGATTTATTTAGCATGTATCAATGGACTAGGCAAACTCGTCAAAGTCCGTCTTCTGAGGTGTGGTCACAAATTGCTCATGATTAGCTTGTGCCGGAATAACATACGAATACAGGCGATGGTCACAGCAAGATTGGATGCGTTGAACAGGAAGAGTGAAGGTATGCCTCGAAGGTGAGACTACTGGTGCTTCTCAGAGATGAAAGGTGGAATAGCAGAAGGAAACAAGACCAGGTAGCGGGTGGTCTGGAGGATCCTCCTAGTTTTCGTCGTCGTGAATACCCTATTTAGAACGTCTATTGCACTTGCTGACAGTCAACAATCTGCCCAGCTGGCTACGATGAATCTTGGTATCCTCCCAGCGGCATACCTGCCAGGGCAAAGGAGGATCTCGCGTCTCAAATTTCCCTACGGATGATTTACCTCAAACTGTCGGAGGTCGGGTACGCTTAGAGACTGCGTGGGCGAATGGCATAGAATCAAATCTTAGCACTTAGATTCGGTAGCCTCGAAACATGGATCTTGCACGTAAGAGAAAGAGAATAAAGTTCAACAGCAATGGAAGCTGCCAGAGCCCGACAACTCAACACAATGAATACGAAAACCTTATGGGTCTTGCACATTCCCAGCCATATTCTTTCTCTCATGTTTCTTCTCAAAAGCTCCTTTCCGCCTTAGGGAACCTCTGTGCCTATTGCGTCAACCTCGCTCCTGCCCCTTCGTGTCACCCAAGTAAGGGTAATCGGGTAGGTGCAAAGGCAAAGACTGGTTCCTATCAACTTAATCCGCGACTGCCAATTTCATAAGCTCAGACAAGAGGGAATATGATATTCTGGTATTTTTTCTTTGCCGGAATCTCCCTCCTCAAACACAAACACACACACACACCTCCGCCGCCGCCAGCAGCAGCAGCAGCAGCAGCAACAGCAGCAGCAGCCTCAGCAGCCTCAGAAGCAGCAGCAGCAACTCCACCACCAGCACCACCACCAGCACCACCAGCAACAGCACCAGCAACAGCAGCAGCAACAGCCACAGTAGCAGCAACAGCCACAGCAGCAGCAGCAGAAGCAACAGCGCTAAAGGCAGCAGCAATAGCAGCAGCAAAAGCAACAGCAACAACAACAGCCTCAGCAGCAGCAGCAGCAGCACCACCACCACCACCACCACCAGCAAGAAGAAGAAGAATACGAAGAGGAAGAAGATTACGAAGAATACGAAGAAGAAGAAGATTACGAAGAATACGAAGACGAAGACGAAGACGACGACGACGACGACGACGACGATGACGACGACGGTGGAGATTGTCTCCCTGACCTTGGGGGTGTTCGGCGCCGTGGGCGCCGCCATCATCTGTGTGGCGCTCTTTCGAGCTCGCCAGCGGCGCCTCGTCGCCGCTGGCCAAACGGAGATGGGAAACCTCTCCAAGGCGATCCAGGACGCCCTGATCAGCCTGGCTTCGGCAATTGCGCCGAAGCAGGCTGGCGAGATGAGGAGGACGCCGGGGGGGCGGGGCCCGGGCCCGGGTCAGCCCGGCGACGAGGAGGAGGGGGTTATTGTTGTTGTTGTCACAGACCGGTAGATTTTTTTGTCGTTGTTTTTTTTTGTTTTTTTTTTTTTTCGTTTTTAATGATGAATTCTTTTGATCTCCGCTCCTCTATAAGAAACCCATTTAACAAACTATGTAACGCACTTGTGACTTTAACTATAGCTCTATACATCCATGCGCCGCCTTAACTCACGAGCCAGCAAACTTGAGGGTCATCTTTATCTAATCCACGGGCTTAACTGACACTTAAATCATCTTCGAAAAGATCCACGGTCAGTTAAAAATTACTTTAGAGGAGTGAGCCTAGCGATTAGAACTGAACTCATATTGTATAATTCGAACTTAACCTTACATTACCCCTTTTCATTCAAGACTAAATAGCCTATCTTATTAGGATCTAGCTCGCTAATATAAGACTTATCTATATTTAGACCTACATAATTACGACGAAAGTGTGGTTACTATATCTTGCATAAAGCTCCCTATTTCGGGACAGATCTACCAGAATACCGGCGCACAAGAGAGCTGTAGTCTGCGGTCTTACCTTGATCATCAGTCTTTAAGTAACACAATGTGAGGCTACGCCCCGCTCCATACCAACAGACATCCCGGGCGTGGTGAATTTGTCAAGCAAGTATTTTTCTCAATGGATATAATAGCTTATCCCAGTCGGCCTTATTACTATTAGCGAGTCCCCGTGTCGAATTAGAAATTTCTCTTTAATTAGAATAGCATGTAAACATCTTTTATCAATGTCTAGTCGCGGGGTGATTCTGTGTCTTAATGTGCACTTACACACCACCAATATAGTGGGAAAGGACCAAGAATAGGCACGGTTGGTCGAGCTTGATAGTCTCGAGTATCAAACTAAAATTGGTATAAATTTTATTGTTTGCCGAGACTCATTAATGCTGTTGCTGTACCTACCTACTAATGTACAGATCCATTGGTGTTGGTGCCAAGTCTAAGGCCGTAGGGCTGGAACTGGAGTTCTCTGGGGTACCGCGATAAAATTGAAGATTAAATTAGACGGCCCCTCTGGTCGGATAAGGAATGATGGAAATCCTTCGTACGGGGAATTGAAGATCCATTTGGCGCGATGGGCCTGGCTCAGGTAGCTTATGAAAGCCAGGGGAGTGAACCGTATCTGCATCAAAATTCCAATGGCAGACAAGGGAAAGTCCAGCAAAAATCGCCCGGGAAATACGAAGAACAGCTCTTCATCCCTGAGCAGCATGTCTCGTGCCCAGAGACAGACGCGCGATGCTCATTGGGCGGTAGCTCCACTGTCTAATTACCAAATACTGGATGATACAGGCTGACAGCCCCTGACACGTCGCCCAGAGCAGCAACTGGGCGTGTTTCGTCGCTTCGTATCGCGCTGGAATTGATTAGATAAGGAGACGAAAATAACCAAACCAGCAAATTAGTGGCAGTCTTCCTCTTCAGGGACGAAACATGGTGATCGTCTGCAGCACTGATTGCCACCTCGTGTCAGCAGCGGGAGGCCCTCGATTTTGATTCCGATTGTGATCCCAAAAAGCGACGCACATGGTCTGATTCGCCAGTCCGCCATCTCTGTACTGCCCTCCTCTTCTTGTTTGTCTTTGTTCTTGCCCGACCAGCCAGCCAGAATGGACCGCAAGTTTGCTCCCCGGCGCGGGAACACCTTCTGGTCCCGGGCCAAGCGTTATCTGCCCATCCTCGAATACGACACCAGGCGACGGCTCGCCCAGAGGCTCTACCGCCGTCGAGGCATCCGCATCCTCGTGCGAAACTGGCGCCTGATCCTCGGTCTGGTCCTCCTGCTCACCGTCGAGACGTGGATGCACGTTCGCAACCTCGCCGTCGTCCATCCGACCGCGAACCTCGATCCCCCCTTCTACGAAACCTGCCAATCGCCCATCAAGAACACCCATGAGCGAGCCAACGCGACATTGGTCATGATGGCCCGCAACTCGGACGTGAAGGGCGCCGTCGCGAGCATCCTCAACGTCCAGGACCGCTTCAACGACAACTTTGGCTATCCCTGGGTCTTCCTCAACAACGAGGAATGGTCCGAAGACTTCATCGACCAGGTCACCGAGGCCGTACACCTGGCCGACAGCGGAGCTACGGCCAGGTTCGAGATCATCCCATCCAACATGTGGGGGTACCCAAGCTGGGTCGACAAGTCCAAGTCTCAGCGCAACATGCAGCAGCTTGAGGATCAGGGCATCATGTATGCCGGCAAGGAGAATTACCACCACATGTGCCGTTTCAGCTCTGGGTAAGTCTTGCCTCCCCTGCCGTCATCTCCCACCCCATTGCAACCTGCTAATCAGCGGCATGCCCAACAGCTTCTTCTACGATATCCCCGCCCTCCAAGAGTACAAGTGGTACTGGCGCGTCGAGCCCGACATCTCCTTCACCTGCGACATCACATACGATCCCTTTTACGAGATGGAGAGGACCGACAAGAAGTACGGCTGGGTCGTGGCGCTCTGGGAGATCGAGACGACTGTCCCAACTCTCTTCCGCAAGATCTCCGAATACAAGAAGCTGGCCCGTCTTCCGACCACCCCCCAGTGGAAGTCGATGTTGATTCCAACCCGCGTGCCCTGGCCCTTCCGCTCCTTGTTCTACTCCAACAAGCCCGGGTACGACGTCAATGGTGACCAGTGGAACTTTTGCCACTTCTGGTCCAACTTCGAGATTGCCGACATGGACTTCTATCGTTCCGACGAGTACCGCAACCTCTTCCACTACCTCGACGATGACGGCGGCTTCTACTACGAGAGATGGGGCGATGCGCCCATCCACAGTCTTGCTGCGGCGCTTCTTCTCCGCCCCGACCAGATCCACCACTTCTCTGATTGGGGTTATATCCACGGCGACTTCCAATGGTGCCCGTACGGCCCTACCATTGACAACATGAAGATGTTCCAGGTAGCCAGAGGCCCCGACGGAAAGAAGCTTGCTGATATCCGCACTGGCCCGGATGGCGACCTGGGCTGCAACTGCAAGTGCAATCCAGACATTTCTGAGATTGCTGCGAGATGTTATAACAGCTGGCGATCAACAGCCGCCTAAGTTTCCAAATGATGCAGCATTATAAACATGCGAGCGTGTGGCGTAGCATGAGGCAATTCACCCACAATGTGGTTTTTTTTAGAGCATTCGTATGCAGGGCTTGGTTTGACATATCGACATTGATGCCTCTCCGCGCCGCAGGAGGAAGCACTTGACATGATACTGATTATATATACGACATTACTACGGCCGGGTTTGGTTGGGTTTGGTTGGACTAGACATGATGATATAGGAAGCGAGACAGATGCTTGGGGCCTTGCATGTATTCTATTGTGTAAACTTGGGCCCATGGAGAGTCCATTATGAAATCTCACGCTCCCGGCGAGGAGCTTGTTTGTTTCTTCACCGTCATGATCCTAATACCTGCCTCCGCAACATTGCCATTGACCGTGAATCGTGCCCCATTTGCCGCCTCACGCAACGTAGGCGGCACAGCATCCCACACGGCATGGCAAACCACCACAGAAAGATCACGACTTGGCAAACTGAGAGACTGAAATCCCTTACTCATACTCCCGCTTTGAGAAGCATCTCTCATCTCCAAACAGGTATGTAGCATTGTAACCCTAGGTGCAAAATTAACAAAGGGGTGGATTATTATACTTGGTTGTGCTAATATTACCATCAAGCCGGCCACTGCCACAGCAGTTTAATATCTGCAAAACATCGAGAAATCCTCCTAGCGTCGCCATTGCATGATGATCCCTCCAAAGGGGCCAAATCCCGTAGGCGAATGCAACGGCACCCACTTCTGAAGGATTGGCTGAATAACTTTGTAGGGCTGGTTTCTAAAATCGGATATTTTGGTTACGTGACGCCGGCGATTTCCCTTTACAAACTTCAAAACATCAAGTATTATGCTGATCGGCCATAACCAGTCTCGCATTTGATTCATCTTCTGTCTAGGAACTGGAATCATGAGAAAAGTATAAGAGACTGCACAGGTTCGCCTTCCAAGCGATCTAGTTCATCAAGCTTCACACTCCAGTTTTCAGGATAACCGCCAACTATAAACCAGCCACACTTCTCAACTTTCCAAATTCTCTCCATTTCCATTACCTTGTTAGATACCCAGAACTCGGAACCAAAATGCGTCCTACCGAGGTCTTCACATATGTCATGCTCGGGCTTGCCGGCTCCGTCGCCGCACAGGTAGACTCGCCCCAAGACGATAATGGTCTTGTCGCTCGCTCCCGCAGCAAGCATTCCATCCTGGCCGAGTTGCGGAAAAACAACGGAATGAGCCCGGGAATTGCTCGATCTGTTTCTGACGAAGACGAGCATCAGCTGGATACCCGCTCCCGCTTCAGGCCTTCCGCGCTGAGCAGGAAACTGGCCAGCAGCCGGAGCCCAGGAATTGCTCGATCTGTCTCTGACGAGGACGAGTATCAGCTGGAAACCCGCTCTCCAATCCGATCGACCAGGCTGCCCAGGCCGAATTCGATCGTCAAGCCGTTCGTGTCAACGGGGCGGAGCCCATTGTTCACTCGATCCGTTTCCGACGAGGACGAGTATCAGCTGGAAACTCGCTCTCCGATTCGCTCTCCGCTTCGAAGTTCGATCGTCAAGTCCCCATTGTACGCTCGATCTGTTTCCGACGAGGACGAGTATCAGCTGGAAACTCGCTCCCCAATTCACTCCCCAATGCGATCGGGCAGGCGGCCCAGGCCGAATGGGATCTTCAAGTCCCCATTGGTCGCTCGATCCGTTTCCGACGAAGACGACTATCAGCTGGAAGCTCGCTCTCCAATTCGCTCCCCAATTCGATCGGCCAGGCTGCAAAGGCCGAATGCGGTCATCAAGGCCCCATCGTTCGTGACAAACGGGCGAAGGACGGGACGTCGTTCTGTCTCTGATGAAGACGAATATCAGCTGGAAACTCGCTCTCCAATTCGCTCCCCAATTCGATCGGCCAGGCTACAAAGGCCGAATGCGATCATCAAGGCCCCATCGTACGGGACAATGGGGCGGGGAAGGGGACGTCGATCCGTCTCTGATGAAGAAGAATATTGAATCCTGACCGCAGTCTTTTTCCCCTTGTGGTGTTAGATCATTAGCTTTCTCAGTCGGTCTGTCAGAGTTTTCGTTCAGTCTCTGTTTCTTTCGTTTGTTCTCTGTATCTATTTACCAGAAAAATTTGTCACGTTAGAACTGGAGAGGTATCTTGCGCATAGGGTATCTTTAACAATTTGTTTTTTTGCAGTCTTGGATTTTCGTGGTGATACTTGCATCAGCTACTATTGAGCCTCTTGAGATATTGTACTAGTCTTGGTTGGCTTTGAATAAAGATACTGTTTCGCGTAACAAACGTTGATTCCCCGGGGAAATCTGACCTCCGCACATGCTACTTCACCCAAGCCTAAAGCACCAAAGTTTGTACGGTGCCCATAGACACTCATACCAAGTAAATTACAGTCTGCAGCATACAAATTGTACATGATTGTGCCATTTATCTATCAATATAGAAGAAGAATCTAATGGCTACTTAGACCAGGAAGGAAACCCTCGGGGGACGCTTATGCTCTGTTCTGATAAAGAGTCAACACGGCCTGGCGTCCTTCTACTTCGAAAAAGCAGCGGTGGCTTCTAATATGAATCCAACGGCCTCGTCTGGCTTGCTGAGCATGGGCGAGTGGCTGGTTTCAATCTCCCGAATTGTCACATTGCCGCCGGCATCAATGGCTTCCTGAATGAACGCCCTCTGGGCCTCGGCAGGAAGAGCCTTGTCGGCAGTTGTGACAAGATACCACACCGGAACTTCCAGCCAACCGGCGTACGAGATATCAGCCCCCTCCGTGAAGGCTCTTGTAGAGTGTTTCTGGAGTCGGCCGACCCAATAATCCGCCTCTTCCTTGGGAAGGTCGTGGTAGAACAAGTCGTCTGCCGGGACACAGACAAGAGCGAAACCTGGATCCGATTCCTCCTCCCAGAACGGCAGCGGCTTGCCACCGACCCTATCCAGGAAAACAGCCCCCGTGAGCATAAAACCGGTGGCGATCATAAAAAAACCTATGACAACCCCAGAGCCAGGATCGGGGGAAGAGGCCTTGGTCAGACCCTTCAAGGCACTGCTGCCAACGGCGCCGCCGTAGGAGTGTACGACGACCACGACATCGCGACCCTGAGAAGTTTCCGCAACGATGGCTTCCTTCACGGCAGCAACATCGTCCGTATAGCTGGCAGAAGCTGAACCCAATGTCGTGGGGAGGGTCACGGCAGTAGATTTATAGCCTTGGGTAGCAAGTGCCGAGACTACCTTTCCCCAAGTATCGGCCGTGTGCCAGGCTCCAATCACAAGGATGAAGGTAGGTTTAGATGTCATATTGAAACGAGAGGAATAAAATGTTGCGGGTTGGAAAGAAAGCAGTCGTGTTGCTACAAACCTCTAAAGTGTAGGTATCGTGTAATCGAAAGCCTACAGTGGGCATTCATCCAGTTCAATTTATACAATCCCTCATAATAGATTGGCGGACCTTGCGGCGCTCTGGTCGAAGGAGACCGCCCGTTTCCTCCCGAAATCCCATGACGCAAATTGCAGAATTCTCCCCTTCTCACGGTGCGTGTGATGAAGGTTGGAGCTTACAAGTTTCTCACTCAGAAGCCTCCAAGCCAAGTGCCATCGTCTATTTGGCCCAAAATGGATTGGTGGAATGGAAATCTGCAGAGGCGGTAACCGAGGAGAGACCGACAGCGGAAGGGAGACTCGGAACTAACAGTTGCTGCTGAGAAACCGCGCAGTTGAAGATAGCGGCAGAGTCCCCTGTAACTGCCGAAGAAGCCATCTCTAACACCAATCTGACTCACCCCGATCCATCAGCTCCCGACGATGCAACCTGCCTGCGCTCTAGGACCTGCGCCGGGTTCATCCTATTAATACACCTTCGGTTTTCTGGAGCATAAATGCCCTTTATCCGCAGCCGCGGGCTCCAGACGGAATTATGGCGCAAGAAAGGACTCGAAAGTGCCACACTAGAAGCCGGCACGGCTGCACCACCTGCAGGAAACGCCATGTGCGGTGTGACGAGACGCGGCCCTTCTGGTACGTCCAGCCCCAATGGCATCGAGGCATCCCTGCCGGATCGGACCAAATACACGAGGTGGATCGGACAGATCTAGGATTGGGGTCTCGGCTAACGATCGAGGAATACTTAGTGTCAACTGCACCCATCACGGGAGAGTCTGCGAGTACCCGTCCACGGTACCTCTAAGAGAACGCCGGGCAAAGAAGCTACCTGGCCAGCAGCAGCCGTTTGCCCTTGACTCGTCTCAGTATCTAGACTCAGATATGGCACGGGAGGACCAAATAGGGCAGAAATCGCAGTGGCTCTCAGTGTACTCTCTGGAACCAGTCTCGATCTCGATGCCGCTCAGGTCCCGGGAGCTTCTGAATTACTGTACGCGCCATGCCACCCTCCTAATGCCAGGCGACTCGTCGTTACTGACGAATGTTCCCTCCTCATCTAGTTCAGCAAACAAGTGAGCACGACTTGAAGTCACTTCTCGCAGACCAATGGAAGCATACGTAAGTGCACATTAAACCACCAGCTGGAATTCCACCTCACACCAGACAGTCTGTCCCTCACTATAAACGACCCAGACGCCCTGCGGAACACTTTATTAATAGCTGGCCTGCACTACACATGGAGGGTGGGTGACATGCGTGGGTATGAACAGACATACCTGTTCCACAAGGTCAAGACAATGCAGCATGTGAATGGAAGCCTGACAAACCCCAACACCAACTCCCAATTCATGCATCTTGTTTGTGGGATCTCTACTCTATGTCTAACTGAGGTATGCACCCCAAGCATCTTTCCCACGCCTCGTTTCTTCTAGGAGTAAACTATTAACCCCCCTTGCGGAAAGTGTTCGTTGGGCAACACCCTGACTGCTGAAACGCATCGAAATGGCCTCATATCTCTGATAGACATCAAATATCCACGAACCCACCAAGAAAATACACCAATGTCACACAATGAGCAGCTTGCGTATCGAAACCTCATCTAGTAAGTTGCGCCGTCCCCCAGCATGCGGAGATGCAACTCGCAATCTGCTCACCGCGAACAACACAGCACCTGCAGCATATTGCACAGCATCAAGAGCCGCGTCATGGGCAGCAAAAAGCTCCTCCGCCACATCAAACGGGGCGGGGGGGCAGACCTCCCCAAGCTGATCTCGCTGCTCAAACAGTGGAACACGCAGGGCATCGGCAGCATAGACATGATCATGAAATCCATGCTGTTCATCCCCTTCTTCCAGGCATCCTTGAACGAAAGCGCCTTCGGTTCTGTAGATGCCTCCTCCGTCGTCACCTCTCTGAGGATGCTGACCGCCTCGGCGTCGGCTCTGCCGTCGCTCAGCCCTGAGCAGCTGGCCAACGACCCAGGCTGGATCTGGATCAACGGCGCAGCTTCGAAGCTGGCCTTTGCGCTCGTGAGCTCACAGGTCAACGCAATTCCGCGCCGCCAAAAGGACGACGGGCATGAAGTATTCATCTCCTCGTGGGGCGGGATCGCGACAACCTCTGAACTGTATCTCGACTGCATTCTGGGGATCTGGAATGCAGGTGAGCCGATAGAATGCCGCGTGCTGAGGAGGATGATGCTCTTCCTTGCGCAGGACCTGCGAGAGGCAATCCAGGAGGTGGGAGACCCTGCCGCGCAGGATCTCTGGCTCTGGAAGGCCATGGTCGGTGCATGCGCCCTGGCCAAGTATGCGCATCGCAGCGACGACGATGGAACCCTCGAGACGCTTGTTGCGACGTTCCAAAGCTTCTTGTCGATCTGGAGCGAAAAGACCTCCATCGTGGAGTGGGCAGAAGCTCAATCGAGACTGGCCAAGGTTGCATGGCCGGTCATGCAACATGGGACTCATCATGCAGGGGAAGACGTCTGGCATAACGCGGTCCAATTGAGCAGGCCAATGCAAGGGGGATCAGCTCGACACGACAATGCGGGAAAGGGGGAAGACGCAGGAAGCGTGATCATGCTTTTTCTTTCGTCATTACTCTGAGAGGTATTGTAGTGCTATGTATTACCTATTCTTACCCAAACCAACGCTAACAAAGGAAAAGGCTTCAGTCTCTGTTTACAAGCAGCACAAAGCACCAGGCCTGAGCCGTGGGAAAGGTTGTTCACCAATCGTCTCATCCGTCCGTCCGTCCATGCTCCTCTCGCTCATTTCCGAGCCGGCACCACCGCCTTGGAGGCCGGCGCGTCCGGCATGATCTTCAGCTGGGTATTGGAGAAGCGCTCCTTGATCTCGAGGTCGTCCTTGTGCTTGACCCGACACCGCCTCTCGCCGCCGTCCCCCGTCTTGCCGCGCGCCGTCGTCGTCGCCCTGCAGCAGTCGAGGCAGCTAAACCAGGGCTTGCACCTGCGTATCGAGTGCGCCGCCGACAGCAGCGCGTTGACCAGGTTGTCCTGGCTGTCCTGGTGGCAGAAGCCGCACGAGCGCTTGTTGATGGGGCACGGCGGCACGGCGATGTACCCGAGGCGGTCGACGCCGTCCAGCAGCTCGGCGAACCGGTGGCCGGAGAACTGGAGGTCGTAGGGGAGGAGGCCCGCGTCGCGCAGGGCCTGGTTGTACCGCGCGGTGGTGGTGGCCGCGCGGAGGCAGCCCTGCATGAGGCTCCCCCAGTTCCAGCTGGTGATGGGCGACATGAGGGCGATGTGGAAGGCGTTGCAGAGCTGGAGTCGTTTTGACTCGAGGCGTTCTAGGGTGGTTTGTTAGCATAGACACACTAGATGGTAGAATGGCGAGAATCTCCTCTCTCCGAAAACAATGAAACAAATAGAGATCAGGCACTTACCAAGGAGTCCCTGACTGAGCAGCGGATGCTCTAGTAGAATGCCAATCTGCGACTCGGCACCAGTGAACGGCCCCCGGTGCTGAAGAAGAAGCATCCACGCCACCTCGGAAAACTCGGCGGCCAGGTCCGCAATGTACGTGAACAGGAACAGGTAGCACAGGTCCTCCAGCTCGGGCGCCTCCCTCTCGAACTCGCGCAGCCAGTTGCGCGCCCAGCAGTTGCCGCAGTGCCTCAGCACCGACGTGCACTGGTACTTGTCGCACACCTCGGCCAGCTTGGCCAGCAGGTCGAGCCCCGGCAGGTCGGGGACGTCGCCGAGGGCGAAGTGAAGCAGCTTGCAGAGCAGGAGCATGGCGTCGCCGTCGTCGTCCGGGAGGGGCAGCTGGAAGGGCGACGGGCCGTGGTTGGCGGCGAGGCGGGCGCCCTCGGAGAACTCGCCGCAGAACATGGCCTTGAAGACGGGCGAGGCGACGGAGAGGACCTTGGAGGAGACGACGAGGTCGCGCGTGTCCCGGGCGCCCTCGTTGATGGTCGTGTGCACCTCGCCCTGGGACTGGCCGGGGGCGGGCGCCGCTGGGACCACGAGGACGAGGGAGTATGGGGGTGGGCAGGGAACCTGGAGGGCGACGTCCCCTCGGGGGTCGATTTCTACTGCTTCCATTGTTTTTCAGTCAGTCCGGCTGTCGTCCCTCTCTCTCTCTCTCGCTGCGTCGCCGGATTTCCCTCTCTTCCGCCAGTGGGATGTTGGGGGGAGCGAAGGGGGAGTGGCACGGCGGTGGTGATGGCTCTTCTCCCGCTGGAGACAGGTGAGTCGGTCAAGATGCGGGAATGGGTGAACGGGTGAATGAGTGAATGGATTGAACTGAACTGAATAGAAAATTGATTAATTGCTGAAGTATCGTCCGTCCTGCTGTGGAGCTCCCCAAGTTCTGCGTTGTTCACCAGTCCCACCGCAATTCGAATTCGGGGGACCAAGGGGTTTAGATACTCGGCTGCCAGGATCAAGGATGCTTCCCGTCCAAGCCTCTGGTCATCTCTGGCTTCTTCTCTGGGGACACGCGACGGACGCGACGGGCAGCGGGGACTTTTCTGCGGCTGAAACCGATGCTGGGTGTGGATTTTGGCCTGCATGACTTGCATGGCAAATCATAAATGAGAGGGAGGGTTTGTTTGTTTTTCGGGCGTCCTCTGGCTCTCATAGGCCTCATCCTACGCCACATGCAATGCAGTTGCCCGGTATTTACTGTGTGTGTATGGATATGTAAGTCTGTCGTCTTATGTTGCATCCAATCTCGTCCATTCATCGCGCATACATGCGTAGGCAATGTACCTACATCCATTTTGCGCATGGCCCGCAGCATGAATATGACCAGCCATTAAAAACTCTTTTGCAGCTCTCTTGCAGGAGGAGGCGTGTCACAAGTCCCACCGCCTGCAAGGAGCCGTCTCTCGCTTGCAAAAGGGGCGTGACGCTTAGCTGAGCCAAGAGCAGAGAAAAAGGGGGTGTTGGGACGAGAGGCAGCTTGCGATGACAACACACACCGCCACGGCCTGCAAACCGGAGGTTCCATCGAATGGGCGGGCAATAGACGAACAAGGCGGGCAGATGGTTCCAGTGTCTATGCGAGCGGATATTCTGCAGCTCCCTCGTCAATTGACGGTAAGTTTGCAGCTTGGTGCTTCTCGACTTCAAGCTGTTCGAGGCATTTACCGTGTTTCCTGCTGCGTCTTGCTTTTTTAAGCCCCTCTTATGGCCACAAACACAACACATAGCCAAACTTGGCCACTTTTCTGGCCGTTTTGAGGTCGTACATAATTACAGAGGCCAAGTTCCGCCGGTCTGTAATTTGCATCCATCCAGGTCAATCTCCGTCCAAAGGCCCGTATGCAGCTCACATCATGCCCGCTCACCATGCAGAGCACGTCTTTCGTCGCCCAATTTCGTCGTCATCGCCTTCATGCTATCCTTGTAGCTACCTTCTGTTGTCCCCTTCTCCCCGGCCAGGCCAGATGATTGACTCACAGGCAGTGCGGTACCGGCTTCAAAGACAGCGGTTCCCTCCCAGCCAGCCACGAACTGCAGACGGCCGTTTCTGGAAGCATCGATTCGCTACCCCATTCGAGAGATCCGGCCGCGACGTCAGCCTGGGGACAGCCCTTGCACAGCAAGGGAGCCAAGGGGTGTCCTATTGGCAGTAGTCCCCGCGATGGAGTGGCCAACAGCACGTCGCGGCAGGCATCAATGGATGGGATTTGAGGTCAGAATAGTGGCGTTGGCCCCCCTCTTTCCTTCGGTTGCCAGCATGAATCACGGTCGGCTGGCTGCCATTGGTGGCGGCCTGTGTGATCAACAGTAAGATGTAAGCCTCACTGTGCCAGAAACACGAGAAACAGGATCATGTTTGATATTGCTCTGTTTGCCGGATGATAACGCGTCGCGTCGCGCCGCAGAAACGGTGTGAGCACACCTCCCGTCAGCTGCGATGCAGGAAGACCCCTTGGGGGCGATTTCTTGTGACAGGTGGTTATACGGCGGGAATCTTGCATGCATGATGATGAGTCTGACTGTTTCTCAACCTGAGCATGACGGCGCAGATGGTGGAGTGGTCCAGGAAGCAGGCGGCCCATTTTGGAACTGATGGGAGGGTCTGGCAGGCGGTTCAGCATCCGTATGGACGTGCGGAATCAGAGATACGGAGGCTGGATGGATCAAGGGTCATGGCGAGAATGACGACACACAGTTCTGAGAGGAGGAGGAGATGGAGGGGATGAGGAGCAGCCAGATCTCGACCTGGTGGCTCAGGCCTTCCGGACCCCTAAAGGCGCTAATCTCCAGTGTCAATCGAGCCGTTTTGGCACTAGGCTACAGGGGCCTCAGCGCATGGGCTCATTCACCATCTCATTGAACTCCAGTCTTCTGTTCTTGTTCACCACGCCTTATTCTACAACTAAATCAAATACTCAACTGCTTCGAGGTCTAACGTCTGCACAACACATCCGAATAGGTAAGAATTAAGAGCTTGGGCATGAATTATCTCTGCGTATGTTGGTTCGATCGGATCTGGCCAAGTGAACGCCATCCATCTCACTGTTCATGCAGTCCAACCTCCAGCTCGATTATCTGGGGTGCGCCATGCAGCAACACCCAACTCATGCGATATCATGTCCATCCGACCTATCACCCCGTACCGGAGGTGTGGTGTGACACCAGCCTCCCCATTATCCAGCCGAGAAACAAATACGTCACCTTAGGCGAAACTCTTGACCACCTCGACCATCCTCTGTGCCATCTTTTCCGTGTCGCCAGGGAACCGAGCGCTGATGTAGTTGTAGGCTTCGTCTTCAACGACAAAACTGATAATTGGAAGATGGGCAACACTCGTTAGACACAAAAAACATAACGAGATCATATCATAGGTAGTAGAAACACTCACGGAGACAGTCCGAGACTGCACTTGTACTGCTTCTCTGGCTCGGCAAGAACCTTCTTCACCTGCATTACAGTTAGTCTTCTTCCAGCACATCCAGCAGCTCCTCATTGAACCCGGGGAGCCATCCCGGCCCCGCGAGGAGAGAGAAAAGAGCAAATTCGAAAGAGGCATCACCCACAGAGACCTCGACGTCCTCGCTCCCAGCCCCGTACGTCTTGTAGTAGTCCCCAAGGAACACCCTTGTACCCCAGTATGCCACCTGCTCGAAGCGCGCGGGCAGCGTCGCCGTCGTGCACTCGCGCAGCACGCTGTGGCCCTGGGCGTCCTTGGCGTTGGCCAGGACGAGCACCCCGTGGCAGATGGCGCCGACGGCCCTGGTGGCGGCGGTACCGTCGGCCTGCTGCTTGCGCGTCTTGGGGAAGTACTCGAGGAGCAGCGAGTGCACGGCCGCCGAGTCCATGATCTGCACCACCGCCTTGTCGTGCCCGCCGGGCAGGAAGACGAGCGAGAAGGGGTCCAGGCTGAAGCCGGGCGCTGTCCACGAGAGAGGCTGCTTGCACTC